ACTAACTAATACATTCACTTGTCCCTAGCCTTAGGTTTGAGCCTAGCTCACCATCGCTTCGGTAAGAACTAAGTCGAACGCCCCCAGCGCCTTGTTTGGTTTTCCTCTGTCGCTTGACCCTAAGTCGCGACATTAGGTTGAAACTCCTCACCGCTGCCGGCGTTCACCGGAACACACTCACTTTCTCCTTTCCCATAGGTCGGGTGGTGCGCACCCTTACTATACTTTACTATACTTAGATAGCCTACGATACATCGCCACCACTTAAGGGACGAACTCTTCAGTATCTGCACTTCAGTGGGCGATACTTGTCCTCACGGACGCGTGGCTTAGGTTCCTGCTGCATACTAGCCAAAAGCAGTACTGGGCCCCACGTGAACTGCGAACCTTAGTGTCTTCTCGGGCGCCGTAGGTGTAAGCTAGTATAGCACGGCCTTTCGTAGTACGCGCACCTCCCCTTCCTTCCCCCATCCATCGTGGCTGCCTGCCAAGGCCAGATCCACGCATTCGACTCCCAGGACCTCATCGACGTCTACATCCCAGACGGCCCTGAGACTGTCCTCTATCGTTGCGAACAGCAGCCGTGCCCCAACCGGACACCCCGATCGATCGAGGAGGATTACCCTCGCTACAAAGCAATCCGACGAGCGCAACACCCGCTCGGACCCCGAAGCACCCTCGCATCCCGATCTGCCTCGCGGCACTCGCGCCCTGTCTCCCCTACCTCCCGCCTTCCCCAAACTGTCGCCGAGTCCAGTCAAGCTCGAGGAGATCTCCCTCCAGACCCTGCGCCAGAGCCTGAGCCTGAGGAGGGTGCAGGTGAAGAAGGAATCTCGGAGTCCGAGTCCGAGGCTTCTACTGGGTCCGCCTCGCCGCCAGCGCTCGCCCCCGCGTCAGCAGTCCCTGACGTACATAACCCCCCCGCCGAACTTCCTTCGGCGCCTTCACCGCCGACTCCGCCGAGAGGCCGCTCGAGCACTCGCTCCTCTCGAAGTCCGACCAGCGGAGGGCCACCACAGCCGCCTCCGCCCCCGCAGCGTCCTCCATCCCCCCCGACGCCGATAATGTCGTCCCCTACAGCCGCCCCCGATAAGGAGACTTTGAAGCTCCTTCTCCCACTACGATACGATGGCAAAACAGTCATCGAATGCAACCGGTTCCTGTCGCAGTTGCGCATCTACTGGCTGGTCAACACGTCGTTGACCACCATCGAGCTCAAGGTGCAGGTCGCACTCAGCCTACTCGATGGAGATGCCCGCGCCTGGGCCACTCCCTACTTTGCCCAGCTCGCATCGGTGCAGGTGGGTGTGCAAGGGGCCACGACCCCGTTCGCAAACGAAGCAGCCTTTACCGCCGCCTTCAGGGCCCGCTTCGGAAATCTCGACGACGAGGCGGCAGCACAAGTAGAGCTGGCGAAGCTCTGCGCGGACAAGTCGGTCCGTGAAAAACGCACCGCTGCGGAGTTCTCCGCGCTGTTCAAGGGTCCAGCGGATCGCTCTGGGTATGGGGACCTGGAGCTACGCGACAAGTACCTGAGCGGCATCCCCTCCCGCGTCTACCGAAAGATCGAGCTCGAGACCTTTGCCACGTGGCAAGCAGCTGAGAAGCGCGCCACCGAGGTCGAGCAGATCCTCGATATCAGCCGGGCCCGTCGGCCCGAACTAAATAACTTCTTCTCGGCCCGAGGTCGAGGACGCGGGGGGGCACGTGGTGGTGCACCCCACTCACACGCAGCTTCGGCCAGCATCAATGCGGCCGTCGGAAAAGGAAACTTCCCCGGCAGTTGTTTCGGCTGTGGGAAGCAAGGGTACCGACGCTTCGAGTGCCCCAATTGTAAGGACAAACCTCACACAAAACGCGCCGACGCGCGGGCTACGGTTGCCTCGGGCTCCACCCAGGCCGCGACAAGCGCCCCCGTCACGACGACACCCTCGGCAAGTATAAGTGCCGCTTCAGCGAAATCCGAGCAATCGGAGCTGGCGGACTTAATGGCACAGGTGAAGTCGATGCGCGAGGAGCTCGAACACTATCGAGCAATGAAGGAGGAGGGTTTTTGATCCGGTCCGCGCTTCGTGCCGCACGCGTCGGGCCGGGTATATCATGTAATCGTTATAATGTATTGTCGACTGCAATGGTGTATGAGTTGGACCAGGGGTCCCAGCACTTTCACATTCCAGTTCGACTTCAAGGAAAAAGACGGCACAAGGACATAATCGCTATGGTGGACAGCGGGGCCACCACGAAGTTCATTAACAAGCGATTCATTATCGAAAATAAGGTGCAAACGCGGAAGTTGAAGGAACCAATTCCGCTGTACAATATTGACGGCACCCTGAACAAGGACGGAAGCATCTCGGAGGTAGCAGTACTACAGATGCATATAGGAGAGCACGTCGAGAAGGCAGTGTTCACGGTCACGGACATCGGTCCAGAAGATGTGATCGTCGGGTTGGATTGGCTACGCGAGCACAACCCAGAAATAGATTGGGAGAAGGGCTCCCTCAAATTGTCACGGTGCCCTGAAACGTGCAGTGCCAGGAGGACTGGCCGAATGGAGCAAGCAGCGACTGCGCGTGATACGGGGGTCAGGCCCACGGCGCGCAGACGTTCGCTGAAGTCCAAACGGTCGGTTATAGGTGCCTGCCTGAGTAAGGTACTCCCGGACTTCGAACCCGAAGAAGATCCGGTGGAGGTAGAGTGGGATGAGGACGATTTGATCGAAGCCTGGGAGCAAGGTGTCACGCTTCCCGGCGCTCCTCAGCTGTTCGTCGCAGCAGGACATACGTACTCCCAGCTGTTTGCTGAGGAGGAGATCAAAAAGAAGGTCGTTAAGACCGCCGAGGAGTCGGTACCTAAACAGTACCACGAGTTCCTGAATGTCTTCTCCAAAGAAGCATCAGAACGGCTACCTGAAAGGAAGCCCTACGATCATGCGATCGAACTCGTGCCCGGCTACTCGACCTTCCACTCTAAAGTGTACCCCTTGTCGAACAACGAGCAGGAGGAACTAGACAAGTTCCTAAAAGAGCAACTAGCGAAGGGCTACATACGGGAGTCGAAGTCGCCCATTTCATCCCCCTTTTTCTTCATCAAAAAGAAGGAAGGGACGCTTCGACCCGTACAGGACTATCGCCGATTGAACGCGATCACGGTCAAAAATCGTTATCCCTTGCCGTTGATCGCCGAAATGGTGGATAAGCTCCGAGGCGCTACGCTCTTCACCAAGTTCGATGTCCGATGGGGGTATAACAACGTCCGGATCAAAGCCGGTGACGAGTGGAAGGCGGCGTTTGTAACTAACCGAGGGTTGTACGAGCCCTTGGTGATGTTCTTTGGTCTCACCAACTCCCCCGCGACCTTCCAGGCGATGATGAACGAGATCTTCCACGATCTCATCGTCGGTGGCAAGATCCTCGTGTACTTGGATGACATACTCATCTTCTCCACCAACAAGGAGGAGCATGAAAAGGTCACACGCGAGGTTCTACGCCGCCTTCAGGATAACGATCTGTTCCTGAAGCCTGAGAAGTGCGAATGGGACGTTCCCAAGGTCGACTACGTCGGCTATGTGTTCGGTGGCGATGAGGTAGCGATGGATCCCGCAAAGCTGAGAGTAATTAATGAGTGGCCGGTACCCCGGAACAAAAAAGATGTTCAGAAGTTCCGGGGGTTCTCCAACTTCTACCGCCGCTTCATCAAGGACTTCGCTAAGATCTCGCGACCACTCGACCGGCTCACAGGGAACGACCCATGGCACTGGGGCGAGGAAGAGCAGCACGCCTTCGATGAGCTCAAGCGGCTCTTCGCGACGACTCCAGTCTTGGCGCTGTACGACCCTAATCGGGAGACGCGCATTGAGGTTGACGCCTCGGGGTACGCCACTGGCGGTGTATTGATGCAGAAGCAGGATGACGGCAAATGGCATCCCATTGCCTTCAGATCCCATGCGATGGATCCGGCGCAGCGGAACTACGAGATCTATGATAAGGAAATGCTCGCGATCATTGAGGCGCTAGATGATTGGCGTCACTATCTCGAGGGGTTACCCAATCAGTTCGAGATCGTCACCGATCACAAGAACCTCGAGTACTGGCGCACATCTCAGCATCTCACACGCCGTCAAGCGCGATGGTCGCTGTTCCTAGCTCGCTTCGACTTCCGCATCACGCACAAGGCCGGGACGTCCAATGGAAAGGCCGATGCCCTATCGCGCCGATCAGACCATCAGATCGGTGATGAGGATGATAACACCGATCAGGTGGTTCTCAAGCCAGAGCGCTTCCGCATCGCCTCCGCCAGGCGCGGCCATGCCTCAGTGACAGCTGACCAGTCGCTTCTGAAGCGCATCAGGGAATGTTCGGAGAAGGATCGGGAGGTGGCCGAGGCACTTGAAAAGGTGCAGGACCTCGGGCCGCCCCGGCTTCAAAGGGGTTTTGAGGAGTGGAATGCCGAACAAGGGCTCCTGCTGTTCCGCGGATGTGTGTACGTCCCTGTCACGAGTTGACACGGCGTCTAGCCGTTTTTTAATTTTTTTCCTTTTCGCGGGCTCGAACCCGCGACCTCTGTACTACATGCCCGATATGGACGCGTCACTATCTACTGTACGATTAGATTAGATGGGGCGGCAGCGCACGGCACAGCTCGGGCTCCGCTGACACAGCCGCTCTGACTCACCGGCCCCCGGGGCCGCGTCGGCATGCTGTGCACGGACCAGCTGCGCACGGACCAATGCGCACAGCCTGCCCTTAATCTCCCCTGTATATAAGCCGGCCTCTGCTGCCCTAGGGACCTCAGTTTCGACCTCTTGTCCCTAGGTTAGTAAGCCCCTGTACTTACTTACTTATTCAATACTAACTTACTTGTCCCTAGCCTTAGGTTTGAGCCTAGCTCACCATCGCTTCGGTAAGAACTAAGTCGAACGCCCCCAGCGCCTTGTTTGGTTTTCCTCTGTCGCTTGACCCTAAGTCGCGACATTAGGTCGAAACTCCTCACCGCTGC